CTTAAAAAGGGTCGAAAATTCAGTAAATTAGGCATAACTCGGCTCCAAAGGCGCAATGACACGAACCCTTTTGGACTTTCTCTAGTCTTACCGAGATCTAGTTGTGGGCACAATATGAGCTAAAACGGTGGGTATCACTTGAGAATGTTTCCTCGTAAGTAAGAGAATAATTGTTATCATATTCTGATAACGACTAACAGAGGANATCCAAGATCCTTGAAATAATGACTCTCTTACAAGGAGAAAATAGCTGAAATCAGATTTTTCTTATTTCTGTGATTTCTCTTATTTTCTTGATATAAAATCAGTTGATTTAAAATATGAAAAAATCAAAAAGTCAAAAAAATCACCAAAAACTGAAAAATTTGAAAAATTCAAAAATTTTTCACTTACGTTAGATCGAGTCATTGGTTTTTTTTATTCTTTTATTTTTTTATTTTCTCTGATTTTTTTGAAACTTTTGTAAGAAAATCGTGTTAGTAGCCCTCCCTTAATAAAAGCCCCGTTAAAAAATGTTGAACGGTTGACAATTTAGAAGCCCTCGGAAGCTTCTAAACTGGGGGGGGGGTACTCAAAATGAAAAACCTACATGGTAGTACTACTTCTCATCATATTGTGCGTAATAAAAAAAGGTTTGGAAGACTTTTTTGCTTCTCAATAGGAATTTATTTGTGCATCTTTTGTAGAGCTTTCGATGGTGCATCATTTAAAAAAGAAATCAAGATTTTATCATTTTCTCAAGCTGAGATACATGCAAAACAAAAAAGTCCTCGAAACATTTTTTTATTACGCACAATATGGTGAGAAGTAGTACTATCATGCAGCTTTTTCATTTTGTGTATGGCAGAAACCATTAACACAAGTCAATAAAAATTTGTTATTACAATTTTTGTAGAGCTTTTCACGACGCGTCTTTAAAAAAGAATTCAAGATTTTATCATCTACCTAAGCCGAAATATAGATATTTTGGCAGATCCGGAATACAGGAAAATTTTACAAATAGTACATCATAGTGTTGTTACAGGTTCTGCGCTATTGTAGAACCTATAGACCTCAAACTTTATAGTTATGTGGCACTACATATGGGCAATAATATATCAAAGTTTCAAAGAGTTTGCATTTGTTAAATGCGAGAACGATGAATTTTAAAATCGTTTCAGAGCTTCTGGGACACCCTTTATAATATAGGATATGGATGTGAGTGATGACTTTTTTTATAGCCGTACTTGCACTAACATTCATACCCATCCATTTCTCTAAATAACACTAATCATGTTAATTATATATAAAGATAATTTCATCGATATTTATTTTATTTAATAAGTATAACAGATTGAAATTTATCTTAATATATAAATAATTCTTCTATTCAGTGACGTGTGTATATCGATAAATAAATGATCTTTGATATTTATTTTTAATAAACGAGAAAAAAGCAAAAGCAAATTGAAAAGAAGTTCAAATGATAATATTGTCAAATAAAAGAAAAGTTAAATTTTTTCTATGGTTAAAGATTTTTTTGATTCAATTTTCTTAGCTAATTTGAAGAATAATTTTACAATAATTATCTAGAAATTTATATAAGTATAAAATGAATAATATAATTTAGTTACTGTAATAATCAAAGAAACAATACAAAAAATAATAACGGAGAAAATTACTATTGAAAAATCAATAGTGAAATTCTTGTTTTCAATATGATTATTTATGTTTGTGCCAAAAGTGAATACACGAAAAAGAAGAAGAAGAATCAAGAAAATTCCAATTCCAATAACAAACAAAACCAATGCAATTCTACTAAGCCAAGCAAACTATAGATTTAGAATATAAATATATTTATTTTAATTAAAATTTTTTATTGATTAAATGATTCATTTAACATTTTATTTTAGCTTTTTTCGAGGAATCTTAAAAAATAAATCTCTTTTTATTAGATTTTTAAACAATTAACACGATCAACAATCGCTTTTTATAAATTAATTTTTTTCTCATGAGTCTCTCAGCTCGATATTCATTTGTTTTGTCTATATATATATAGATATGAATTTGAATAGGTTTATTTGTTAAACAAATGAAAAAGGATTGAGTTTAATGAAAATCTATCATCTCAATTGAATAAAACTATACTTTAAATAAACTGAAATATTCATTAGTTTTTATTTCATTCGATTGATAAATCTAAAATACATGAAAATATTTTATTTCTGATAAAGACTACAAATCAAATGAAAAAAGTTTATTTAAATAAAATTAATTGAAATTTTCTTTGAAAAACTTTTACAAATTAAATCTCTTTTTTTTCGATTAGAATAAAATTATTTTACTTGAAATTTATATGATAAGAATAGTATATCTATTAAAATTATAAACATATCACTCGTAAGCCTATTTCATAATATCGATAAATGACGAATATTCCGAATTCATAGAAAATAATTGATATAAGTGATTAACCAATTTGTGCATCACGTTGAGTTCCTTGTATACAATTAGGAATTTCATTTTCTGCTTTGTCATTTAATGTTTCAATTACAGAAAAAGCCTTAAATATTATATAGAATTCGAAGATTTATTTAAAATAGATCGTTTGAATTTCTATCGATAAATATTGAAAATATTTCTCAAATCATCAAGTATTGTTAGATGATAACTATTAAAAATTATCTTATGATTTATATCAAACAAGTTCATTTTCATAAGTATATCGGTAGATAGAAATAAAATTGTATTAATGAAAATAAATCTTTTCTTTCTATAATATATTATGTCAACATTCAAAATGAGAATCATTTTACTTTTGTCAAATAAAATAAACATTGATCAAATAATAATTCTACATAATATGTATTGTTTTAAATAATATGCTTTCTTTTATTTGTTTCTAACCTTTCATTGAGAATTCATGAAAAAAGACGAGTAGAAAAGGTTAATGTAAAAATAAATAAATGCGAAAACATCGGATTTAAATCCGAGTGTTATGTGTACTTCAAAAAGTGAAGAGATATATTCACTTTGTTTTTTATCAACTGAGACATATCTAGGCAATTTGCTTTCTGCATGCAGTTTTTTGTGCATTTTGAGACCTTTTTCAGGTGATGTTTTGTTAGAAAGCTACGATTTGGTTCAAAACTAATATCAGATTCGGAATCAGCGTTAAAAACTGAGTCGATTTACATATGTTGTGAATAATTATGAGAGAAAAATTTTTTTTTTGAAAAAATCCCTGTACTCCCCCCCCCCCCTCAGGGATGGTCCGGCCAATAATGACAATTTTTTCGATAACTCAGCCATTTCTTGACGGATCCTTCTCATCTTCGAACTCGACCGAGACATTGTTAAGACTAAACTGTGTAGAAAATTTCATCGCGATTGAACTCTCCTTTCAAAAGTTATCGTGTAAACGGCCGGATATATTGACCGATTCTAGAGTGTACTCACTTTTTGAGTACACAAAAAGAGAACAAGTAGGATGGTCTTATTTCAATCGTTGACTTCGTGAAAAAATCACTCAAAGTGAAGAAAAGACTACAACATTACAAAAGTAATCCTTTATTCATCTCTGTTTGATAGTAGTTTGAAATATAATTGATATTGCAAAAGTTTCTGGAAAAAATGTCAGACTATTCTATTTCAATAGAAGATAATAGAAAGATAATTCTTTTTCTTTTTTGTTCGATAGAACTTGATTTCTACTTTCAAAGTACATGTTTGATAGATTTCTATTTATACGCTAGTAGCAAAATTTATTCGGTTTTAATAAATCTTCTAAAAAACAGGTCACAACATTTTAAACAGTAAACCAAGACATGTGCTTGTGTGATAAAATGACTTGTATGCTGTAAGATTGCTCAAAGATCACCTAGAGAAAATTTCAGCTTATGAAAATCTTTCTTTATTAAGATCCACTTTCTTAAAATTATGGCGGCATATATTCAGAAACTTTTTGTAAAAGTAAATTTTCCATTGTTTAGATATCTAATTAACTTAGGACAAAGAATTTAATAAGATTTTTCTGATATTTTTCTAGTTTGTGAAAATCAATATTTAAAATGATAAGAGTTTGAAACAATTGATACATATCAATTTCCAAAACTGTAAAAATGACTTTTTTTTTTGCCAACATTAAATGATAATAATTAAGTTTCTCAATAGTTTGCGTGTGACGAAAACCTATATCATTTTGTATATAAATTGTAAAATGAAATTCAAAATATTGCATTTTAGATAAGATACTGAAATTTTTATTGAAGAAATCCATAGAAAAATGACAGAAATTTACAGTATAATTTTTAGCAGTTTTAGAAAGATTCAATGGATTTGCCTACTTATCTATGAATATAAGTTTTCGAGACGTGCCATTTTAGAATAGTAAAAAGGATTTATCTAACAAAAACATAGTTAGCTCCTTTTCACCTTCTGTTCACATGGAATACTCTGGCAATTTTTCAAGAACTTTTGCAACATCCGCTATGTTACGGTATATTGTTATAGAAGCAGAGATGTCAAACAATCTATCAAAGTTATTATTATCTTTACCATTCGAATTGAATGCTGTTAAAGTCAGTTAAAGTTCAATCAATTACTTCTCATTATCTTTAACTGTGTTTATCGGTTTTGTTGCAACTTAGTTCCGTTTTAAATCTCTTTCTATCTAGAAAAGTTGCATTATTGTATTTTTATAGGGCTAATGTTTTCTCGAAGTGAAAAAAGAAAAACGAAATTGTGTCCACTGTCGTACATGAACTTGTCATTGCTGGAAAAATTGATCTATGGTAAAGTTTTCCTATCTACATTTCACTTTGTAATAAAAAACAAAGGCATAAAAAGTGGAGTTTAAAATAAAAAAGAGAAACAGAGGAGAAGTGAATAGCCAGAGTTTTTTAAACAAGATTATTCATGTTTTTTTTTTATTCATTGCTTATTATTCTTAACATTTTTTCTGAAGATTCTGTGGAAAAAATAATTGAAAATGCTTGAATTTTGTTTTTTTATTTAAATATTTAAGGAAAAGTAAAATTNCTATCCCAACCGGAACCTCCGTTATGACAAAACGGTGTATGCCCAGGACAATCACCGACCCATACTAAAATCTGTGCTGCACGTGAACTATTATCCTTTGTCCAATTCAATTTTAATACTTTATCTAATCCACCTTGAACATCTTCACATAGATCGGCACCACCACTTGCTCTTTGACTAGCAATTTTAGCTTCAACTGGTGCAAGATTAGGTGTCTGGTGGAAATCAATTAAATCAAAACGATCTGAATCTGTGTAATCACGATAAGCAACAAATGCCATGCGTAAAACACCATCTTTATCATATTTTTCTTTCATTTCTTTTTGTATTCCATCTGCAATAGCTTTAATATGTTGTTTACATGCTCTAATCCATCTTCCCATTGAACCTGTACAATCCAAAACAAAACAAATTTCAACTGTCAATGGTGAACTATGAACACTATTTGAAAATGTCACATCAATACTACGTTTTGCATTTTGTGTAATCGCATCAAAATGTGTTTTCATTTCGTCAGTCCATACGTCATCTGTTGTTGAATACATTTTACCATCTTCTCCTCGAATTGTTGATGTTTTATCTGCATGAAAGGAATCATAAGGTGTTTTTCCATCACTTTGTTCATTCGACCAATTAATAAGTGCGTCACAAAGTAAACGTGGATTTTGTGCAATAATCCAATCATTGAATGCTAAAGAAACACCATTCGATTCGAAACCAACACCAATTCCAATAACAGTTATTGAACGTTGTTCAGCATAAGCAATAACATTTTGTATAAAACTACCACGTTTATCATAACCATCGGTGAGAGCAAAAATAAACATTGGTCCATGATTATTATTATATGATGATTGTTGTTGTAATAATTCAGTAGCTGCAAATATAGCATCACTTAATAAAGTTGTTTCACCATCAATTTTTAATGAATTTAAAAGGTGATGTACAAATAAACGATCGTATTTTTGTTTATAACTTTTAATTAATTGTATTTGTTTTCCAAATGTTAAAACATTGAAATCTTCAATACCAATTTTATTCAATGCTGCACACATGGAAATTAAAATATCTACAGATGAAAAATACGTAGGACCAGTCATTGAAACAGATTGATCAAGAAGTAATGCAATACGATATTCGGGTTTTTGTGAACCGATTTGATTAAGATAAATTCGATTATATTGTCCTTGTGTACAAATAAATTTAACAATACCTGGTATATATAATCGACTTCCTCGTGTATCTGGTAATGATTGTGTTGGTTTATATGCTGGAAGAACATAATCTTCCATGGTACGTACTAATTCACCAATATATATTTCAAGTTCTTGTTCGATTTGTTGAAGAGTTTTATCTGTTTGTGTAAGTATAGCATCATGTGTTTCTAAATTCGAATAACTTTTTTCGAGTGCATCTAGTGTTTCATCGAAATTTTTAATAAATTCATCTGAAGCAGATGTAAAATCGGTATTTATTTGTTGTTGAAATGTTTGTTGTTCGAGTTTTTGTCGAAAATCATTTACATAAAATTGACCGGTATAAGAAATCTCAGGATGTCTCCATAACTCAACATCTTTTACATGAGATAGAATAAATGGATTCAATGGATGAAATTTAGTTGCATTATTTGTGGTTGATACATCGGGTGCTTTTGGAGTATCAGTTGATCGATTACCATGAAGAACAATCGATTGTTCGATCATATCAAAAAGATCATCGACAACTGTTTTCGTTAAAGTATCCAGTTGTCCAGTTTCAATAAGTCGATTTCGATCTGGTGCTATACGTTGTATGAATTCTTTAGCTTTTATCCCATGTTCAATAGCAAATTGTCTGTATTCTTTTGAAAATTTTGTATCATCATGTTTTGTTAATTCTGGAATAATACAAACCATATAAAGTTCGGCTTTTGCAAGATGTAATTGATTCGTGTATAATTCAGTTTCATCTTGAGATGAAATACCATCAGTAATCATAATAATAAATCGTTTGACATTTGGTTTAATTTGACTTCCATATAAATCTTTATTTGTAGCAATTTGTTTCAATGCTGTTGCTGGTAATGTTTTTCATCGGTTGTAAACGATTCAAGAATGTATTGTCCACGTGCTAGTACTGATTGTTGAAGACTTTGAGTAGTGTTTGTTGTTGAGTCAGTTGTCGATACCATGCTATGCATTGATTCATGTCCGAGTGGTTTAAGTATTTTTTGTTCAGCACCAAATCGAACAACACCAAATTTCCATTCAAGACGATGAAATGTTTCAAGAAGAATAACTAATGTATTTAATGCTTCACGTATTTTCTTACCACTCATACTTCCACTATTATCAACACAGAAAATAAATTCAAATTGTAAATCATCATTAGCTGTTGTTTGTTGTTTTCCGTATTGTTTTTTTAATGCTGAACGTAAACGTGTTAATAACATTAATTGAATATTTCGTGTAAGACGAGCTAATAGAGCATATCGTGGTTTATCTAATGTTGTTTCTGGTAAATGCTCTGGATCACAATGTTCAGTAATAGTTCCAATATCATATTTATTAGCAGATTGTAAAAGGCTGGAATACATGTCGGCTGATCGCTTTTGAAAGTTTTATAATTGTTGTTTACTGATGGTTACTTTTGAACTCTCTTGTTTTGATGGTTTTTTATCTGGTGATGGACTTCCATCAATAGTGGGACAAAATTCCACACGGATAACTCCAGGTGATTTAGTGTCTCCTTTGAATGTTGATGAATTTTCTGGTCCGTCTTTTGTCACTTCTCCATGATCATCAATCTCTAGGGCCACGTCGCGATTAGCAGTTGTTCGATGTTCCGCAGGCGATGTAGATGGATCTGTATTGTTTTCTGTGTCTTCATTATTTTCATCGAGAGTTGCATTCAAATCACTGTCGTAATTTGCCACAAGATTATCGAGACGAATACCTAACTTGTGTAATATCGGATCACCCATTATTTCACCTTGTTCAAATTTCGAATCTTCAAATCCTTGTAAGAGCTGTTTAATATTATCCAAATTTGTTTGCTGCTGTTGACCTTGTCCTTGATAATTCAAATCCGAGCCATGACCATCTTCGGGTATATCATAATCATCTACTAATTCATTTTTCTTACTGAGTTTCCACAATTTACGTAAGGATTCTGATGCACTTAATTTATCCAAAACTTGTATTAAGTCTCTTTGTATTTCTTGACATTTTCGTTTTATATGACCATCGATATCACCTGAACATGATTCAATGAACTCCAATGATTGATATAATTGTAATGATGTTTGAATAACCTTGGGTAATGTCGTTTTGGCTAGATTATCTATTTCTCTTCTCATATTGTTTGCCGCCATCTGTTGAATAGTATTCATAGTTGCTTGAATTTTATTGTTAATTTTATTAGCCGTTGCTAAACATGTGATTGTTTCTGGTAACAATAATTCGTCTTGTTTAACTATATTTGATACTTGTGTTTCTGATTCTTCATTTAATTGAGCTGCTTCTGATGCGAGTGTTTCTACTTTTGTTTTTGCTGCTTCTCTTGCCTCTGCACTTGTTTCACCCATCAATAAAGGACTTACTGGAACAGTAGACTCATATGATATTGCTTCTGTGGCTTCAATGGTACCGCTAGCTCCGATACTACCTCCAATGGCACTACTGCTACTACCACCACTACCTTTGCCGGTACTTGTACTGGCACCACCACTACCTCCGCTGCTTGCACTGGTATCACTGGTACCTCCACCGCTTGCAGCAGTACCACCACTACTGCCACTACTTGTACTGGGACCAGTGCTTCCACCACCACCTTTGCCAGTACTTGGACTAGCAACACTGCTCCCTCCACTGCTTGCACCAGTACCACTGCTTCCACTACTGCTTGCACTGGCACCGCTGGTACCTACACTACTTTTGCCGGCACTTGCACCGACACTACTGCTACCTCCACTGCTTGCACCACCTTTGCCGGTGCTTGCACTAGTACCGCTGCTACCACCACTAGAACTTCCACCGCTACCTCCACCAGCACCACCACTACTTCCTCCTTTACCATTGGCGCTGGCACCACCACTGCCTCCACTTCCGCCGCTTTCACCAGCACCACCACTACCTCCACTACTTCCTCCTTTACCACTGGCGCTGGCACCGCCACTACCACCACTTCCTCCTGTACCACCACTACTACCGCCACTACTTCCTCCTTTACCACTGGCACTGGCACCGTCACTACCACCACTTCCTTCTGTACCACCACCACCACTACCCCCACTACTTCCTCCTTTACCACTGGCGCTGGTACCGCCACTACCACCACTTTCTCCTGCACCACCACCTCCGTCACCACCACTGCCTCCACCTCCCATTCCACTAAATAGCTTGAAGAGAGAGAACACTAAGCCCATTGCTGCTAATACAAGTCCAACAGGATTTGTGGCGGTTAATAGTAGAGCAATTCCACTAATTATATCAATAGCTGTTTTGACAGATTCCGGCAAATTAGGTATAAGTTCACTGAGCAATGTTAATACAGCCGATGCAATTGAACTAATCTGTGCCACTTTCGAAGTTAGTGTTGTTGCTTTCATCAGAGCTGACACGCCTTGTTGAATTTGACGAACATTTTTGTAGACAGTTTTAGCTTTTTGAACGATATCGACTACTTCTTTATTGACACCCATGGCAGTCATTGCAGTATCAATAAGATCGAGATATTGGTCACCTGATAGACGCTTTTCATTTATTAATGCTGACACCAAAGGTTTAGCACCATTAAGTATTTGTTGTCCTTTTCCACCAATGTAGGAACGAGCAATATCAATAATGTCTTCATAACTAATCTTTTCATTGTTGAGTTTTTTGCGTAATGCCGGTATGACTGGTTGAATAATATTGTTTACTTCTGGTGGAAGAAAAGTCGCAGCGACATTTAATGACTGATCTAATATTTTTTGTGGATCATCAGAACGAATTGCATCGATTAAATTAACGACTCCATTTACTTTCTCGGCATGTTGTGGTGGTAAAAATGATGCTCCTAATTTTAATGCACATTTCGCTAGTTCTTCTTTTGCCATATCTTTGTGATCAATTACTGTTCGTAGCTCTTGAGCTATACCATAGACTTTTTGAATTTCTGGAGGTAAATGTGACTTTAATTTATTATTATTCAAAAGACTATTCAATGCTTGTAAAGGATCATTTGTTTGTGATAGGATTTGAGCGGTTGAATTTGCAATTTCCATAGCAGTATCAATTTTTGTAGCATATTCAGGAAAGAATTCATTTGCAATTGAATGAACTGCACCTTGAATATCACGATTTTGTATTTGATTGATAATATTTCGTGCTGTACCTAATGCTTTTGCTGTTTTCTCATCAACTATATTCATTGTTGCATCAAATGCACAACCAAGTACATTTTCTGCTGTTATCTCTTGTTTTGATAATTTTGTTAATGATTCTATTACATTATGAGCTTGTTCTGGAACAAATGGAATGAGCCGAAGTGCATCTTTAACAGCATCAATTTCTTGATGATTGGCTATTTTCTCATAAACATTACCGACAGTTTCAAATGTTTCAGACATCTTCTTTGGTGCTATGATAGATGCCAATTCTAATGTTATTTTAACAACATCTTTTATGTCACATGTTTCTAATTCACTGATATGTTCGAGAGTATCAAAAATTGTCTGTGCACGTTCATTTGGTACCAATTTTAATAGGTGTTTCAAGGCTTGTAATTTGTCTGTTTTCAATGAATCCAAAACATTAAATGAGACTTCTAAAGCATTTGCTATTTCTCGATTGTATAATTCAGACACTTTCTTAATTATTTGTTCTTGTGATATTTTTGATGATGACAATTGTTCAATTCCAAAATTAAATCCAAGTCGAAGACCGTCAGGAAGTAAAGCTGAAATTGATTTTAGCGCTTTTATCGGTTCAGACGTGCCTTGATCAATTATTTTATTTAAACTAATTTCACTGACATCTGATAATTCTTCACTGATTATTTGCTGTGCTAATTCCATCACAGATTGTTTGATATTACCATTAAGTATCTCTGGTGCCGTTAAAAAGATACATTTAACATGTTCGGACAAATGTTGATCTGGTATAATATCAAGAAGTTCAACAACAGTGCCCATAGTTACATGTTTAGTAGTATTCAACCTGTTTAATACATTTGAAATTGGTCGTAGAACTTGTTTTGTAGTTTCATCAGGAATACATTCGATAGTTTGTTCAACTAATGTTGATATATTTGATCGAGTTAATTCACCATTCATAATTGGTATTAGATTTTGATAAGATTCTAATAATGTATTAAGATGATCAAGAGTCGTATGTCCATTGATACCATCATTCAAACGACTAGTTAACTGAATACCTAATTCTAATACTTCTAATTGTGTCATTGTCATTGTACCAATATTCGAAATGATTTGTATGAACACACTGTTCGCTTTTTGTTCGGTATCTTCAGGATGCATTAAATCGCATAGTTCGGAAACATTTTGCATTATTCCAAGAATATTACTTTTTTGAACGTCGGATAATATAGCTGTTAGATTATCATGCAGTTTCTTATGTTCAGTTAGTTTTAATTCTTCTAGAAAAGATTGTTCAAGTGTTGTAAGAAATTTGGCGGTTGAAGTTGATGAAGAATGTCCTGATCGAAATGTCGCTATTTTTTCTCGAATAATCTTTATCCATGTAGTTTGTGTTGGTTTCAATCGACGACAATAATATGTAATTGATAATATTGTTTCGAAAAGATCAAATGGATCTTTTTGTTCGTTTAATTTTTTCAAATCCGATGATAGAGTTCGACAACGATCATTACCAAAATTTAACATTGCTGAAATGATATTAATATAAGTTTGATTATTACAAATGGATGTTCGATCTATTAATAGAACGATAGTTAGAACAGTTCTTAATGAATCAACAATTGTTGAATCAAGATGCAGGCTGAGTGTTGCACATAGATCTTCAATAAATTTAGACCAATCACAACTACGATCGGCTAGTTTTTTGACTCCATTTGTTAAATTTGAAATAAGACGTTGAAAACCATGAATAGTTTCTTGTTCTTTCGTATCTAAATCCGATGATAATGAAGCAACAACATATGGTAATGTCGTTATGTCTTTCACTGATGGTTGATAATCATCATGTGAAAATTTTTCACTTAATTTCATAAGTTCAACAGCATTCTTTGTTTCATCGGAATCATCTAAATGTGTTTGAAGAAAATCAAACACTGAACTAGGTGAGAGCGAATTTTCTGAAGCTGTAATTGCTTGTGTAACAAGTTCAGTATCAGCTAATGATACATCTGATTCGTATAATTTTTGTAAAATAATCTTTTCATTAACTGGTTTTTCATTCGATGCTAATTGTAAGATTTGATCGAGAAAATTTAATGAATTATGATTTGTTTCAGTTGTCATTTCAGATAAAAGATTACTGAATGCTTGTTCAGGATGACCTTTTTCTTCGATATTTCGTACAGTATCGGTGGCTTTATCTATTAATATTTTCATTTGTTGTTTCTCTTTACTGGTCAATTTTTTATTTTGATTCATAATTAATTCTGTTGTATAATCGAGTAGACGTTTTTTAGCTGTGTGATCGTTGTTATTTTTTTCGAAAGAATGTTTTTCATATTCTAATAAACGTCCTAAAATTTGTTCATCACTATTTCGTGATTGTTCTTCGAAAAGGACAGATAATTTTTCAGCACATTTCAAAGGTAATAAAAGATTTTCTGAATCACTCTTATGTGGTGAGCCAATGATGGCTGGAGCTAATTGTTCATTTAATATTTTGTCGATATTTTCATACAATTCACTCCAATGTTTTCTTGAAAATAAATTGAATGTTTGTTTAATACTTTCTTGAATTGCATTTGTGTATGAGGATATTTCATGTTCATCTGATTCGAGACTCGATAGAATTTGCTCACATGTTAAATTATGTGGAATATCGGAAAGTTTAGGTTGATGATGTATTAATTCATCGAGTTGAGTAATGATTGGGGCAATAGCAGTTGTTGCACGCTGTCGATACGAATTACTATCATCTTCAAGTAATTTCATCAATTGTTTTCCAGTTGTTGATTGTGATATTTGTTGTGATGATGGTGGAAGATCAATTGGTAAAGTTGGTTCCTTCAATTCATCTTTTGCTTTAACTCGACCAGTAACTATCAATTTGTATTTCTTCAGTAGACCTCTTGCCGATAGAACTGTTACTGGAACATCTATCTTGAAATCTCCTAGTGGTGCGTTCTTTTTAATCTCTACAATACATTTAATTGATCGCGAATCAACAGGAGGTATGGCAACGCGCTTTTGATCACTTCTGATTTTGAAAGAAATGACTTCATCATTATCATAAGACTCGCATTCCAACTGAGCACGTAAATATCCATCATTTTTTATTATTATTGTGAATGGTGAAAGTTTTGTATGTGGTGTTGTTGTACCACAATGCAGAACATTTTGATCAATAGTGATAATAGGCGCCAAACGTTTACAATGAAATGGAATACGTTGCATTTCTTCTTTACAATTCGTTTTAAGTACAAATTCACAATCGAATGCTGCTAATTTCTTTTGAACTTTGTAAATAAAATTATATTCGATCTTTTGACGAGGTAATATCGAAGGTGGATATGTATTAGACTCATCAATTGAAATATGCGAAGATGTTGAATGTAATTCATCGATTAACATTTCAACTAAACCTTTATTGAATACAATGATTCGACCTTCTTTTTCATTCATATCTTCTTGTACTTCGAACGTTTTCAAATGTTTTAATAATTCTTGATCTAATTCCGGCCAACCAGCTGATGTTTTCAGTATTAATTTAAACGATGGTCGTTGGGTTGCACCAGGAAAAACTAGATTAACAATGTTATCAAGAGTTGAATGTGCTTTATTCACTTGTAATTCCATTTTTAATGTAATAGATGCATTTGGTTCTAGAACAGCTTGATTATGCGATAAACTAGTAATAATTGCACCTGTTGGTATATTTTCAGCTTTTGATTCCATAGTCATTTTGACTTCACCTGTGTTATGTATAATCAATTCTTCGTAATGAATAGTATTAGGAAGACATGGTGGTAATTCAGTACGATATTGTTTTTCTGTTAAACGTATTGAGTTATGCATAATATCATAGGATATCTTTCGTATTTTACCCAAACAAATAATTCGATATTTAATATCTTTACTAAAGTAAATTTCATAGATACATTTGGAATCTTGAATTACATCTTGAATATGCCAATCGATAGTTAATACTTTTGATTCATAAGCAAATAGGAAAAAGTCCATTTGTTTACTATCAATGTCAAATTTACCAGTTGCACCAGTTTCTCGCCGTAATTTAACTCGAAGATCAAGTGACATTGGATTTTCAATTGTAAATGAATGAGATCTTTGAGAACGAGGACATGAAAGAACTGTACCGAAATTAATTTCATATGTTTTTATTTGATTTGGCGATTGACCATCGATTTCTGTTTCCATTAATGGTAAATCAATACCAATATAAAATTCTTTTATTTCACAACAAAGTATTATCAAAATGCATAATCGTTTATTTGCTAATTTCAATTGCCATTCTTCTTGATATTTACCTTCATTCACTTCACTATTAGGAATTATCTTGAGATTATTCGAATCATGTAGTTCAATAGTTGATAATGAATGATTAATAGTAAATATGGACCGAGAACGTTCTTGTGATATAGATAATATTTCAAAATCAATGTCATCATCAGTATTATTGATAATTTCAAGTGTTTTTGTTTTGAGTTGTGCATAAGACCAATTTTGAATAATTTGTTCAAATTGTATGATTATTGATGATTGTGATGGAAAATATTCACCATCCTGTTTATTAATTATTATTTTATTAGTTGATGGTGAACCAGTCGATTTTACGAGTGACTTAACATTAACTGCTTTGCTGATTTCAGTTAAATTCGTTATACGTGATGGTTGTTGAAGTGTTGAACGGATTTGTTTCTTTCGTCCATGTATTTGAGTAATAGTTTCTTCAATAATTCTTCGACATGCATCGATTTGTTTCTCCCCGATTAATATCTGTTGATCTTTTTGAAGCCAATATTGTTTTATTGTTTCGATTTGATTAAGAGCTTGTTCAGAATGTTCTTTTGTTTCAAGTGAATAAACAATCAATTGGATGAAATTCAATTCGGTGGATAGCAAAAAATGGTATATATGTATACCGAAGAGCAATTCTTTTTGAGCTAATGAACTTCCATCATTAAGTAATGTATTCATTTCACTTGTATAAAGTTTATCGATTACTTCTCTGGATATTGTACCTCCATTGTCGGACAATTGTATAAGAAAACCATATCGTTTTAAATAATCAAGTATTCTGTTTAATGTTTGTTGAAATTCTTGACCACATTGAAGACTCTTTTGTATTTTTATTGATGTATTATGTAGGTTCAAAAGAGTGGCTACTAATTTATCGAAGCGAAAAGTCTCTTTGAAGATTTTTACTCCTTGTTTTAAATCATCAGCTGAATCAAATCTTCGGACGATACCATGTTGAATTTTATCGAGCTCATCATCATTAATACTACTAGTCAATATATCTATTGTTTGAATAATTATGCTATCTAATTGTTCATATTTCGATGGAAGTTCAGTCATTAGATAATGATGTGTAGGTGGTATTGATACGTTCAATTTTTGAGTATCTGCTCTCATTGCAATTGTTGGTACATCTTTTTTTGCTTCTAGAGGAGGTATATCTTTGAGAAGGGGCTCTCGTGGCATGTTGTATTCATTTGATTTTTTAGATTCGATTTCTGTACATTTCATTTTGAGGTCCACTAACCAGTTTTCAAGATTTCTCTTTCTTTCAAAAGAAGTGAACTCTTGATATTGTATTTTTAAAGCAAGAAATGGATCTTCGCTTACAACTATTTCTGTTCCTTCAGTTGTAGTAACTGATTCATTTGTCATTTTGAAAACATCTTCGACAGGTATATTAAAGATACCGATGTTGATATTTGGCGTAAAATGTAAAATAATTGTACCTGTCTTGTAATATCCGAATTTGTGTGTTTGTTCTTGTTTATCGTATAATGGAGATTTGAGAAGATCCAGAGGTATACGAACCATCCTCGTCCATTTATCACTACTGGCTTTGCCAGCTAATAGTTCTAAGATCCAAGGTTTCGGTGATGTAACAGAACTACCATCGGATGGTATAGGGATTGAATATGAAAATAAATTATTCACAGCTTTTGATAAATATTTGTCATCCAATAACTTCACCTCGCCTAGAATTATTTTTCCATCATGTCCTTCTTGAACAAGTTGAATTCGACTATTCCAATCTTTTACCCATGTTGCTGTTAGATCTCGAGGTACATTATCTCCATATTTAACTTCTTTAACTTCGATACAAATTGATTCGATGCGAATCATACTCACTAATTCTTTGCCTTCTTTGTCATCATCTGAGCGACATTGTTTTGGAATTAATTGTTGAATTTTAAGTAATCGTCTTACAACTTGTATAGCATTACTAAGTATTGTCTCAGCATTGTCAATATCGAAATTATTAGTTTTAAATATTGATTCATGTAAGAGTTGTCCAATGAGTTTGACACCATTAAATATATCAATAGAGAGTTGTTTCGTACGCTTAATTCTTTCCTGAACTTGTCGACATTTTAAATCATAATCTTGTTGTGAACGTTTATTTTCTTCTTCGATTGTTCGAACTCTGATCAAATATTGATCCATTAATTGTTGCACCCATGATTCATTGATTGTTTTTCGTTGTAACAATAATAGATTCATTTCCTTATTCCAAACATCAGTTATTGTTTGAATTTGCGATAAATTTGGTCGTAAAGTGTTACGAACTGTTTTATTCAATTCAATTTTTAGTTCTTTTAAGTTTATTGTCGACATTCGTAATAATTCAAAACGAAGTAATTTAGTCAGTCGAATAAGATAAACAATCACAGGTTCATCATTTAGCATTTCTATTCTTGGATATTTCTCTTTCAATTGACCAATTGTTTGTTTTAAAAATATAAATATTTGTTGTCCTTCATCATTTAATAATTTGAAAACAAATGAATAACGTAATCGTTTTGATGCTGAATCGTGATCTCCATTGAGTGGTGTAGCAAATGCACGAAGAATCTTTGATGCTTGTAACCAACCTTGAATAAGAAATTGGGCTAATTGATTGTACCAATCAATTTGTTCATCGATATTTTCAATATGTCGAAATAGACGAATTAAATTTGCTTTAGATAATGTTTCAAGTAAATGAATATCTTCGAAATTTACACGAGTTTTAATAGTATTATTATATTCTTTTTGTAAGAAATCTGTTTGTTTTTGTTGTTCTTGTTGAAGTAATTGAATAAAGAATAAAATGAATTGGTCTACAAAATTTTCTAATACCGGTCGTATATGGCTTAAGGGTTCGATTAGTTTCTTTCGTTCATCGAATAAAAATTTGATAAATTGAAGTCCTTGCTCTAATAATAGATCTAAATAATCTTTGTGAATATAATCTAAGAACTCAGCATGCATAGTCTCCAATGATGATGAGCATGATAAATGAATAGCACGTTTTAAATTTTGAAGAAATGGTTGTAAATTTTTTACTGTTTCATGTTCCAATGTATCTGTAGGATTTTCGAAAATTTTTAATATTAAACATTGAGTATTGTTAACAAGAACATTTAAATTATAACTAACTTGTACCAAAGGATATGTCTTCGATGCTGACTCTGTGAAACGTCCACTATCATTCCAATCACCAATTTGTAGAAGATCTCTCATTTTCCGTTCTATATTATCAATTATGGCTGCTGGATTGTAACATATTTCACTGAATGCATGTGTATATCGAAGTTTCAAACTATGTTGTAAGATTGAAAAATCATAAGATAGAGATTTATGAAATTCTTTCAATGAATATTCATCAACTGGTAAAGTTGTACCAGGTAAATCTGCACGTTCACGATATCCACTAAGACTTATTAATCTTTTCATATGATCATCCCATTCGTATGAATGATCATCGATTTTAATTTTCATTGTTTTCAATTGTGCAAATACCAATGGGTTTGTTTGTTGAGTTTTAAATAATTGAACAAGAAAAATGGCGATGCGTGCATATAGGCTAGCACAATATTGTAATAAAATCGAGAGTACCTTTGATGAATAAACTACACGTGCAGTATTAGCAAATTTATCAATATGAAAAGCGATTTGACTAAGTTTTTGTAGTGCTTGATGAACTGTTTCCATATTTGTAGGAATTGATGCGATATGGGATGCATTAATAATCGGTTCGATAATATCTAATGACTCGAAAATGAGTGTATTTGTTTGATTTATCATACTTTCCATTTGTTGCACATATAAATTACGTTGACTGTTGATATCATGTAACCAATTTTGTATGGAATTTAATAATTGAGTATGTATTAATTTGTAAGCAAGAAGATAATTATGAAATATTTTATATAAACTATCGTCTGATCGAAGCCATAAAAGAGCTTCTTGATAATCATCATAACATTGTGTCAGTTCTTGAGTGAGTTGTTTAATAAACACTTGAACACGAGATTTTACTTGTTCAAATTGTGGTTTTTCAAGTTTTAGTAATACTGTTTTCGATTGAAATAAATATGCATAGAATTCACTTGATGTGTAAACTTGTCGTTTTTCTTGAGTTTCTGTTCCTTCACGTTTTCGATTTTCAATTATTTCAATTATTTCCAATGGTAAATAATTTCCTTTAACTTGTAATTTACGATTTATTTCTAATAATCGACGTATTTGTCCGTTGGCTACAGTATTCAATTGAATTTGATAATCTCGTTCAACTTTTTTGCATTCATTTCTAGCCTCTTCCGCATTTCTTTCCAATTCTTCTCGCCTATAATTGTTAAATAGTAATCCATTGAGTTCTTTTTCAGCTGTTACTTTTCTAGATCTACACCTTTGAAGTTCTTGTCCGTATTTAATAACAATTAATTCGGAAAATTTCAAATAGTTTGTTGCTATAGTTATCCCAGTGTTGTCTAATTTATCTTTGAATGTAGATAAATTATCTTTCATTTCATCGAATAAATTACTCAAGAATGATTGTATTTCAAATGCAAAAAACGAATGATATTCGTTACTTTCGAATAGTTGATAAAACCAATGTTTACTTATATCTTCGGTTTTTGCAGATGTTGCCATTATTTGGACAACACTCTTCATAGATTCTATGAGCGTTTGACTGGCTGTTTCAGCATTGCAAGAGAGTAAAGATATAGATTCACCTGTCGTACTTTGTAATATGAATCGTTTTTCATACAATTCTTTAATCGATGTTCGAAATTCATAGCTAGACAAATAAGTTTCGAAGTGATGAACATTTTGAAAATCAAATTTATCTAATTGGAGTGAACTCATGAATAGTATGGGTAATTCAGGAAATAGAAGAGCAATACAATCGGATAATCGAAGATAAGATAATTGAATACCTATCGATTGATTATAATTTGATTGATCATGCAAGATTCGTGTTAGAGTTTTATGTTGTTCATACAATCGAATAAGACGTGGATAAATATGTATCAGTTCATATGTTTGATTATCTTGATCATCTGACGAAATCAATACAAGTTTTGATTTATCGCATGGATTTAATTTTTGTAATTGTGTTGATCGTTGTTGAATAGCATTCTCCAATGTTTTTGTTCGAAGTAGTTCTAATTTCGGTGCTGGTAAATGAAATTGTTCAGTTTGATCATGTGCATGTTCTTGACAAAATTGTAATAATTCTTTACATATTTCGGCTAATGATGTCGAATCAAGAAAGATAAATATGGCCATTAAATTTTTTAAATTATCAATAATCAATTGAACTGATAAATTTTGTTCGGTTGGTAAACAAAATTCATAGATCAATTTTTCAACATATGCCCACATTGATTCAAATGTTTGCTCATGAAAATAATCAGTTAAAAATTCTAATACCGATTCTTTCTCTGAACATTTTTCATCTGTTAAAGATTTCACTAAAGCCAAAAGATTATCTCGATCATCTGAAAATTGATATCCGGTTTGACTTGGATTTCTTATGGTTTTCTCCAGCATCTCCTGCATAATATCCATTGATTTTTCATATTTTACTCGTTTTATATTGAAAATATCTATTTTTTTATGTTCAATAGATTCACTTGCAATTCGACGTTGTAATTGTTTTGGATAATTCCGCCATTTCAATAAACTTACTTCATTCAATACAGTTTTATTACGTTTTATGTCGTTCAATTCCATGAGTAACATAACAATTGCATACTGTATTCTCGATAGATCATTCTGTTTAGCCAATTGTCTTAATTGTTCTAATTCTTTTTCAACTTTCGATAATTCATCATTTTGACGTTCAAGCATTGTTTCTTCTGCATTCTTTTTAACTAATTTTGTTTCTGGTTGATTAATATTTATTGGATCTGTTGTAACATTGTTATTTGCAGTTGGATCTGTTACAGCATGTTGAATAGCATTTTCTAGTTCAATTCTAGTAAATAGTTTAAAGTTCATAGTATCTTCTACTGTTAATTCTTCTTCTGTTTTAAATTGTGTATGTGCTACTTGTTTGAGAATTTCACCTTCGAATGATTTAATATTTTCATAGAAATTTTCAACTGATATTTTAAGTCCATATGCATCAATATTATTCATAACAAATTCAACAATTGAAATTAATAATTTTGATATTTGATGTGATTTTTTATAAAGATCGATTTCATTCATATTCGATCGATGTATTAAAAGAATTTGTAGTAATTTTGCTTGTATCATATGTATACGATCGATAAATGTTGAAATAAATGCATGAAATTTTGTTTCAGAATCCGAAAGATGGGATTTCAAAAGATTTAAAACTGGATAACGGAATTGTTTTCCTTCAACAATAGCTAATGTTCGTGCTTTAGCAATTGGTTCTTTAGGTATACACATGAGTAAAGTTTCATCTAATTTTTTCTCAAGTTTTTCAATAGTTGGTCGTGTGAGAGTTGTTCTTGCTTTAGTAACTGTTTTAACAAGTTCTCGAATATTAATATCTGTTGATGTTAATGTTTGTTTTCGAATAATTTCTGATTGTTCGATAATATTTAAGAAAAATGTTATATCTTTATGAATATCATTTTCAACTTGATTTTCGTAGATTTGTTGTTCAGTTCGAATTGTACCTGCTAATCGTTGTTCTTGTATCCATCCTTGAATGTCTCGATTCAATTGTTCAATATGATTTGGTTCGATTATTAAATTATCAATATCATTAATATTTCCATGTTGAAATATCTTTTCAACTAGACATGGTAAAGCAAAATGAAAAATAGTGGCATCAATTTCAATTTGAATAATTTTTCTTTGAGTATCTATATCAGAATTCATAGATCGTTGCTTTACTTCGTTAATAAAACGATCAGCAAATTGAATAAAAATATCATCAAGTGGTGCTTGAGCACTTCCATAATCGAGAGCAAAATGTCGAAGAATGAGTTGCTCATTTAAACGTGCCACTCCTGTTTCATTTGTAGAATATCGATTATATTTACGTTTATCAACAAGTAAAAGATTTGTTAATTGTACATTGATAAGAATATCAATTGTAGTTTCTGTTTCCAAGCATTTATTGATTATTGATGCTAATGTATCTTCTTTTAAAATATATATTAACATATTTTGTTGAAATAAATTTGGATAAATAAGTTGCATGATAGTCAGACTCGAACGTCCATGTGATGTGTTTATATCATCAAAATTTATCTGATTAAAAACAAATTGTCGTAAAACATCAGATTTTAATTGTTTATTTTCTTCATCAATTTTATTCGAAGACGAATAAGTTTGATTTAAATCATATTCTTTTATATAAATTTTTGATATACTTTCAAGTAATTCAATAATACTATTTTCTTGTCGACGTCGACCATATTCACGTATAGTTTGTAGCCATCCGTTTGCTTGAAATTTTTTTAAACTTTCTCGTAGCGGTAAAAATAAAGTATATACATTTTCATATATACGTTCAATCGCTTTCAATGTACTAAAATGTCTTGCTTTTTTATCTTCTAATTTATTTTCTTCATCTTGAAGCTTAGTTAATTCTTCGTCGACATTAATTGTTTCTTCACTTGATTCGGGTTCGAATAATCGTCTTCTTTTTTCATAAATCTTTTCAATTTCATAATCGATATTACTCACATTATCGATTAATTTTGCTTTTTCTGAATCATATTGATGAGTGATTTTATCGAGTTGACTATGACATGATACTAGTTCAGTATAGATATCATGAAGAATCGTATGAATAAAATATAAACAATTTAAACTAGCAAGTAAATTCGAAGAATTTAATAATGTTTGTTGTTCATCCATCTTTTCAATGAATTGTGGCTTAATCATAAAATTCATAGCAAGTTTACATGCAACATTTAATTCTAATTTCGAAGCAGCTAATAAAATATATTTGTCATCTTCCATAACGGATAAATATTGATATAATTTCAACATAATATCCAATCGTTGATCAGCTGAAGAAATTATTGGAATTGATTGTACTTTTTGTAGATGAACATTTATTAATTTTAAAGCTAAATTAAATTCATTATCATCGTTGTCTAAATTTATTTGATTACGTTGACGAATTGATTCTTGTGTTTGTGAAACAATATGTAAATCATTCTTTGCCATTGGTTGACATGGAAAAGCGACCCATTTCATATATGTTTCGGTAATTAAAAGTGTATTAAGATGCTCTTGAATCTGAGTACACCATTTGAGTGTATTTGATGAATGTGATAATTTACAAATAAGCTGTAATTTTCTTGATAATGATGAAAGTTGATGAATTGTATTATTTACTTGTTGTAACTTCGTAAGACGATATTGTGCATCGATAAATGATGTTTCTTGAGCAAATTCAAGAATTTGTTTGTAACATTCTTTAATAGTTACATCTAATAAATTTAATGAATCGTCAATATTATCGAATGAGAGTATGATTTTGTTCGAATATAAATACTGATGTGTTTTTGATAACCATTTTTTCAAATCAGAACTGAATGCTATTGATTGTTGTGTATCGTCTATCAAAATTTTTGATCGAATCATTGATGCTTGTGAATAGAGTCCTTCATCGGATTCATTTTCTTGCTTAGTTTTAACTAATGGTTGAAGATAATCAAGTAAATTTACACCATAATCAATAAATTCTTGTTTTTTGCATATGTCCTCATACATATGATTATTGATTATTCTCAGATGAAGATCAATTGTACACTCTTCAACAGATGCAATCAATTCATTAAGATTTTGCGCTGGAGCATACCAAGCCATTTGTTGTTGTCGATCTTCCATTGTCAGCATTGGTAGAGTAGTATATGATGCTTTATTTAATTCAGGATCCAATAAATGTTGAGCCAATGCTTTAATTAAGGAAGCTTTACCAATAATATTCAATATAGGATCAAGATAACTTCGAAAGATAGCTGGTTTTAAAGCAAATACTGGATCATGTTTATTCGAAACATATGTTCGTAATATACGTGCTGAACGTTTGATATTTTGATAGGATAATTGATAAGATGTAATAAATTGTAATTCTTTTTCATTTGAAAATTTTTTTGCTGATGCATGTGTTCGTAACAATATATGTGCTAGTTCTTGTCCACCGTTAATACCTTGCAATTCTCCTTTAACTATGTCAGCTAGATCGTGTTGTTTAATATTGTCAAAAATCAATTCATCATCTAATGGTTGCATTCGAATAATCAAACACCGATTTCGCCAAGCACTAGATAAGGACAGGGGCGCATAAGAACGTGATTTGGCCCATAGCACTTTTCAAACAGAACTCATCACAATCATACATAGGATGGAAGAACTTTTCACGGCGAATACTTTGATACTCGATTCGAGTTATACTTCCAGTATATTTGAGGATTTCCACACCCATACATTCATCATTAGAACGATTCTTTGCGATCAACCTTTCATCTATAAAGTCAGGAGCAGCCAACTTTTATTATAGCCCATTCGATAGCNCCGATTGATCAAGAAGAATTGCAATACGATATTCTGGTTTTTGTGAACCACTTTGGTTTAAATAGATTCTACTGTATTGCCCTTGGGTACAAATAAATTTAACAATACCTGGAATTAATAATCGATTGTCTCTTGTATCTGGCAGAGATTGTGTTGGCTTATAAGCTGGAAGAACGTTGTCGTCCATTGTTCGTACCATTTCACCAATATATGTTTCGAGTTGTTGTTCCACTTGTTGTAAGACTTTATCTGTATCCACAAGTACGTTGTCATGCAGTTCCAAATTTGAATAGCTTTTTTCAAGTCCCTCCATTGTTTTATCAAAATTTTATATGAATTCATTTGAAGCAATTGAAAAGTCAATATCCATTTATTGTTGTAGTGCTTGCTGTTCAAGTTTTTGTCTGGAATCGTTCACATAGAATTGGCCGGTGTATGCAATTTCCGGATGTCTCCATAAATCGACATTTCTTACATCCGATAATGTGAAGGCGTGTAATGGTTGAAATTTAATTGCATTGTTCGTCGATGTAGTAGTTTGACGAGCAATAGAAGGATTTGTATAATCCAAAATCAATTGTTCGATAATGCCAATGAGATCAGCAACAACTGTTTTTGTTAAAGTATCCAATTGTCCGATTTCAATTAATTGATTTCGTTCAGGTGCTACACGTTGTATGAATTCTTTCCCTTTTTTCTTGTGTTCAAGATCGAATTTCTTATAGTCGTCGGAGTATTTGCTATCGTCAGCTTTCGGTACTTCGGGTATAATACAAACCATATAAAGATCAGCATGTGCGTTTTGTAATTCAGTTGTAAATAAGTCTGTATCTGTTTGAGCTGAGATACCGTCAGTGATCATAATTATAAAACGTTTGACATAAGGTTTCACTCTACTACCGAAAAGTTCTTTACTTTCGGCGATTTGTTTCAAAGCGGTTGCAGGTAGTGTTTTTTCGTCCGTAGTAAACGTTTCGAGAATGTACTGACCTCGTGCCAATTATTTTTCTTGGAGATTAAGTGTTTCAGTGATAGTAGTTGCGCTTGTTGCTGATTCAACAGTATCATATATCGATTCATGTCCTAGAGATTTAAGGCTTTTTTTGTTCAGTGCCAAATCGAAGGACAGCAAATTTCCATTTGACACGATGAAATTTTTTCATAAGAAGGGTGTGGGTGTGGGTGCGGGTGTGGGTGTGGGTGTGGATTAGGGTGTGGTTGTGGATGTGCATGTCGGTGTGGGTGTGGGTGTGAAGAAGATGACAACAAAACCTACACGCACCCACACCCACACCCACACCCACACCTACACCCACGCCCACACCCACCCCCACACCCACACCCACACCCACACCCACACCGACA